TGGAGAGCTCGGTGATCGATAAAGTTGTTTGCATCTGCAGCTGATTTAAACTCCACTGATATTCTATTTCGTCCAACTTTTTTGACTCCATCATGGACTATATTTTTAATATTGTTATGATACAGAAAGTGACCGAATTTAATTGGTTTAAGAGTTACTCCAGACAGCTGATCATTTGAGATTTTACTTACGTGAACTAGAAAAGGAGCGGCATCATCTTGAGAGTACTTAACTTTTTTATTAATAAAATCAGGATGGGTATATGAGGATTGTATTGAAGGAAACTGTTGATTTGGATCAGTAATAACTATTTTTTGTGGATGGGCGGACTCGTTACTTACTTGGGCACGTTTACGGTTAATTAATTCTACATTATCAATGTTAGTGGGTAAGGAAAAGGAATCGTTGCGAACCCTTCCGGGATCGGGAGGTTCGTCCTCCATTATATTACTAAAACAAAAAATTACATAAAAACGGCACAACTACAAACACTTACTAATTTACAGATATTAAAACCTCCACCAAGACAGAAAAATTTACTATGGTAAATCAACAACACTTAATAAAACTATAAATTTTAAGCAAAAAAAGGCACGACACTTGTATCTCTCACTTCCTCCGAAAAAAACCCCCCAACACGTATCTCTTGTCAAACTCAAAATATTGCCTGTCACTGTCATTAATGTCATCATCAAGCATTGGGTGCGTTTGGCAGAAAAAAGCGCTAGCAAGCGCTTGTAAGCAAAATGGCGATCGTAAGCGGTAAGCGCTGTCAAATCGTAAGTAGCTATTTTCCTCTAGGACACGAAGTTAGTTTTAACCGGGGAACCTAACCTAATTTAAATATATGTTTGTGAAGTATTCATATTAAAAACTTACCAATCATGAATTTTTAATAACATGTATATGTCTATTCATGTCATTATATTACTTAAAAATAATATTGCATGCTTGTTGTTGGTATATTGCAAGACAACAAGCTTCGGATCCCGCGCCTACGTCACAGTGACCGAGTGAAGCCGGCCACAGTCGAGCGTGTGCCTGCTGTACTACCATATGTCAGAGGAGTCACAGACAAGGTTGGCTACATCTTGAGGCGAGCTTCCATTAAAACATACTACAAGCCGCCGAAGAAGATTAGTCAATTTTTACCATCCGTCAAGTGTAATATCCCTCTACAAGATGCAGGAGTGTACAAGTTAGATTGTGAATGTGGTCTCTCTTACATAGGTCAAACAAAAAGATCTATAAAAACCCGCGTAAAAGGACATATAGCTGACGTGAAGCACCGACGCTCTGGGAAGTCTGCAGTCTGTGAACATGTTCTAGATCGTCCCCACCATTACATCAGATTTGATAAACCACAAATCCTCGCAAAAGAACACCGATTCCTACCAAAGATGATACGCGAGGCTATTGAAATTAAAAAACATCCTAATTTCAATAGAGAAGATGGTTGGGTGCTGCCATCTGCTTGGGATCCTATAATTAACAAAATTAAACCTAAACCCAAGCATAGCACCCGAAACGTCGGGAATTAAAAATAAGTAAAATCAGTTAAATAAACGCGATAGAATCCGTAAATTTAGTTTTATTCAAACTTCCGTTAGTTCTTAAGGAGAGAGTTATTCTATTATTTTAGCAAAGTTTTTTATAAAGCGTATGAGTTTGTGACAATTTAACTGGAGCGTAGTAGTCGATTTCCCCAACGGTGACTAGTCAGCTTGGGGTGCATTTTTGTAGTTGTGGTTTGTATAGTGTTAACTGATTCTCAAATGTTCGGTTCCAGGTGTTAATGGTGATTACTTGTTTTTTGCAATCTCCGATACTGAGGCTGTCCTATTTCGTGGTACGTAGTTGAGTATATTTGGTTTCAACTTTTCTGTTGGGTCCACTTTGGGGAGGTTTTTACTCAGATATTGGTGTCAATTTTCTTTTGGATTGGCAAATTGGTTGAACCAGACATCCCTCTTTTTCTTTTATATTACGCCATTTGGTTTCTTCGTTACTATTTTATCGTGTTTTAAGAATGCTATATTTCTCTTCTCCCTCTCTTCTTCAACCTGCGACTGCAGTTGTTTACGTAGTTTAGTTTAGTTTACGACGGGCTGTTTTCCGCAACTCCACGTCTAAGTGCGTATTTTGCGTGTGGGCAGGAATAATATGCTTATTCGAGCCATGATATCTCCCCGAAGAAGCTCAGCAGTCTCTTGATGTTGCAAGCAACTTCGGGGGAGCGATCCCGGCGTGCCGAGATGTTTAACCCTGTATGAAGCGATTTCTAGACATGTCAGCGACACGTGAGCCGCCGTTTCTTCCTCTCCCATGCATGCTCTGCACAGGGGACTGTCAGTAACACCTATGGTGAACAAATGTTTGTTAAAAGAGCCATGTCCTGTGATAGCACTTGTTACTATCCTGATCTGTGGCATGTTCAGTCTCATTAGAACCTTGGTCTACAGTCTACAAAATTTTTCCAAAGCTGAGCATGTAAATTATTGAAGTATCTACGTACCAGTGAATGAACGTAGCCAAAGGGGATTGGTATTATTGATTCTGGCCCTATAGTTGCAAGAGCCAATCCTCTTCTGGCCAGTTCATCTGCTGCATCGTTGCCTCTAGATCCACTGTGCCCCTTGATCCATTGCAGAGTCACATTGTTGTGTTTACATACCTCATTCAATCGTTGATGGCACTCGTATATCAGTCCTGAGTTCGTCATATTGCAACTCAGAGCTTGTAGTACCACCATACTGTCAGTTAGTATTCTGATGGAGAAGTCTTTCACCTTCCTAGCATCTATTGCTATGGCCGCTTGGATGATACCCATGCATTCAGCCTGGAAGACTGTGTTGTGGGTACCCAGCGGTGTGCATATATGGATATTAAGGTCTTCAGAGAAAGCCCCAGACCCCACACCTTCATTTGTCTTAGAGCCATCCGTGAAAACTTTGAGCTCTCTTGGACCCAATCCTTCCAGATGCTCAGTTTCCTTCAATTGTATCCTTTACTTCTTATCAAATACAAATTTTTTTGGGATCCTATCATACTTGGCTTGTAAGATAGGAATTTTTGAGTAAATTCTATCGATTAAAACTACTTTTACGGATTTTATCACAAACTGCAGACTTCCCGGAACGTTGATGCTTCACATCAGCGTTCATATCCTAGACGGCCCCAACCATTACATCAGATTTGATAGACCACAAATCCTCGCGAAAGAACACCGATTCCTACCAAGGATGATACGTGAGGCTATTGAAATTAAAAAACATCCTAATTTCAATAGAGAAGGAGGCTGGGTACTACCACCTGCTTGGGATCCTATAATCAATAAAATTAAAACTAAACCCAAGCATACCACTGCAAGACCTCAGGACATAGTCAGTTCATTTTGCATAGATCGGACCATAAACAATAATTAAAAAAAAGCTGAAGGTACTCCGGGTTTAACAATGACATCGGGACGTCAGTCATCTCAGTCCCCCGTGACCATGGGTGCTGGAAAGCGCCCGAAACGTCGGGAATTAAAAATAAAAATAAAAAGTAAGAAAAAATAAACGCGATAAAATCCGTAAAAGTAGTTTTAATCATGTGCAATGTTCGCGTAAATATAAGAAATCATTAAATTCTATCGATTATATCTGTATGGGGGACTCTACTCTTACTTAAAAGATTTAGGGTCTTGAGTCTAATGGCAGCTAAAGTTGCTTCTTGTTGTATATGTAGATGAAGCGGTGTTAGCTCCAGCATAGCCTCTAAAGCTGCTGTTGGTGTTTACGTATCTCTAAAACTTCTTTAAGGTAGTCTTCTTTGACGTAATTACCTGGAGGAAGGCTGGACCTGTTTCTTAGTATAAAGTGTTTTTTCCATAAGGTCGTTAGAGACAACAATTAATAATAAGTATAATGGGACGTTTTTTATTAGATGATGTTCCAATTCTGTAAATATTGCTTATTTCTTGGCAGTCTGTGTTAGTATCTGATTCTACTACGATTTCTTTTATATTTTAGTCTTTATGTTCATGTCCCTATTCTCATTTTATTCAATGTAAAAGAATACCAAATTATTCTTTTGTTTCCTTCCTTCCAGGAAATTAGAATTTTCTTCCAGTTTTAATACTTTATTTTTAGGTTTTTATTTTCTTCCATAATTATTTCCCTTTTCTCGTCTAATGCTACCATGACATTTTTTTGTAATTTTAAGGGGTTTTTGATTTATTTTTATCTAGTTTGGAAAACAATAGCTCCATATTTACGTCCATTTATATGGATATTTGGAGGTTTATTATGGTAACACTTTAAATGTGTGATAATTTAAATTTGATATGGTAGCTTTAGTATTTCTTGTATGTAGCAACTGTGCGCTATGTTGATAGCCGTCAGTATCACAGGTAGTTATTCTTAGGTTTATAGTTAAATTAAATATGGTGGATCAATTGCAATTTTAGGCTAGATGTAAACTTTTGTTGAAATATAGTTCTGATATTTGTTCTTTTCAAGTCAAGTCTTGACTGATAATTTAATAATTTTTTATCGAAACACTTAAAGTATAACTATTTTGCACTGTTATTCTGTAATATTCACGGAGCTCACTAACATAGGTGTTTACTCTTACTCTGCCGGAACCAGATCTCGAAATAGTATGTGCAAAATGATAAATAATGTAAATATAAGTCCAATATCATCATTACAACCTTTTACAGGTCCACTACTGAAAACAGGTCTTGAGAACCTTACCTATACTATCTTAAATCTCAAAGAACCGAAAACCGATGGGGAAGAAAGATTCTCGAGTGGCAACCTCGTTTTTGTTGGCAAAGTGTAGTGGATGCTGGAAGTCGGTGGATGCAGGTGGCTCAGAACTGTGCTATGTGGCATTCCTTGGGGGATTGCCTATGTTTAGCAGTGGGTTTGTGAAAGGTTGTAATAATGATATCTGATGATGATTAAAAATCAAATAACTATTATGTGGGTAACGTCACTGGCACGTGCACGTACCTCCGGCGCACGTGTGTCGTGCGGCAGCGGCGCATGCGGTGCGTGCTGCGCGTGCGCGTCACGTGTGCGCTGCTCGCGCGCCAGGTGCGCGTGCAGCTGCTGCAGCAGCGCGCCCAGCGCCAACGCGCCCGCGCACCGACACAGCCCCAGCGCAAACAGCTGCGCCCAGCACTTGCGCAGCAGCAGCGCCTGCACCTCACACCTGACATACACGGACTCCGTCTTACTTTTTTATTTTTATAAAATTGAATGGACAAACGTATTTTGTCTTGAGCATAGATTTATTATAGACAATAGAATACATTGCCAATGCAAAACAGAACAAGTATAGTGTATACGTATATAATGATAAGATAATTGATATACACGCTATCGGCTTGTATCAGTCTGACGTAATTTCTAGTATCTACAAACATTCGAGTTTTAAAATGGCAGCGGCACGCCCGCCTCGCCGCAGCGACTGCAGTACTCAGTGCTCAGTGTATTCACGGCAGCGCGGCGGCGGCGAGCACGCAGAGCATCCAGCGCGCGTTGGCGAGCAGCAGGCGTGCGCCCGCCTCGCCGCAGCGACTGCAGTACTCAGTGCTCAGTGTACTCACGGTAGCGCGGCGGCGGCGGGCACGCAGAGCATCCAGCGCGCATTGGCGAGTAGCAGGCGCGCGCCCGTCTCGCACGCAGCGTGCAGGCGCAGCGGCGGCGGCGCGCTCGGCGGCAACGTTAGCGGCAAGCGCAGCGACTCCGGCGTCGATAGGATGCCCGCCTCTGAAATTGTTACCTTTACAGCTTGTGAAAAGTCCATCGTGAAACATATCCGGCTCGAAGGACAAATTGTCTGCAGTTGTTACTTGATCTCTTAAAAATTATAACACACTCCGACCAAAGTTTTATTAAATTTAAATAACAATATTTCATGCAGTGGCAGCATAAGAGAATCCGCTCCCGTTGGTGTCGTAAGAGGCGACAGAGGGACATGAAACAGGAGATGGTTAGCAACATCTTTCTGATAACTTATAAGAGGGATCCCTATTAGTCAAGGTAGGAAGACCTATGTTCTGCATTGGACTTTTGATGGGCTGTAACAAAAGATAAAAAAAATATTCTCATTTGCTTTAACCACAAACTACAGCGACTGCAGAAAATTCGTCTTCGAGCCGGATTTAATTTAATTTGTTGCAAATACAGAACAACCTAAGATTTATTATAAGACCGCATACTAATTTAACTATCATATGGCGTGCCCTTCGGCCAGAACTAGCTTCGTGCAGACCAACCTCCACCATAGCGAAGCTGCGTCGGCTCAATTACGGTAGTGGTTGGTTGGAGGTTCAAAGGACGGCCATAAACCTAATCCAGGACAGAACAGGATGTGGTTGGGCTGGTAAAATAAAAGGCCTAAACAACCTAAAAGGTAAGTTATTCTACCTCTGGGCGCTACAAGCATAGAGCGTCTAAAAATTTATACTACTAAAGACCTGTGCACAACCATTAACAGATTTCTGTTCCAGAGACATGTATGCCGTAGCAATACAAAATACACAGGAGGGAAGATTAGTCGTCGCCTCGGCCTACATGCCGGAGGAAGACATCTCCCCTTCATGACCTTGTCAGGCTAGTAAATTTCTGTGAGAGAACTAGACTAGAGGTTGTGATCGGGACGGACGGTAAGGTGTTAGTCGAATATCTCTTTAGGACTAACTTAGCAGTTTTAAACACAGGTTCAAAACAACCTTCATAAACAAACGTTGTCGCACAATAATCGACCTCACACTTGCAACAACGGCTTACAGAATGGCATGTGTCGAGAGAGGCCTCATGCTCAAACCATAAATGGATTTGCTTCGTACTACATCACCGTGGAGAACTATCTCCGCTATACCACCCTGGAGAAATCCCCGCAAGACTGAGAAAATAAAGTACCATAATAAGCTAACGTCTGCGCTCGCGCGTTTTGAGGAGACAAACACTATAGCAGATCAATAGCTCCTAGAAAAACAGGTAGTAGCTGTTACCAGGTAAAGCCATGATAGACAGTTACCATGAGACATGTTCAGCAATTACTCCACCAAGGCTTACTAAGGGCAAGCAACCGTGGTGGGGTAAATAACTAGATAGTAAACGCAAGAATGTAATAAAATGGGGCATGAATACCCCAATGGATGAAGACTGGCTACCTACTATATCAGAAAGCTAAGTTTGAGTACAAAAATTAGTACCAGGTATCGACGTTCTACAGGATGGCGTAAATTCTGTGGTAATATAGAAACCTGTGAACAAGCGAATTGGATAAGGAAAGTCCTAAGTAAACAGGACACGCTAGAATCCATCTCTTTCAAGAAACCCGACGGTAGCTACTCAACATCGCCGCATGCAACCCAACGCATCCTAATTCAAACACTTCCCAGATTGCTGGGTAGCTCAGGAGGTAAACCGGCATGACGATATCCTGACACAAACAGAAGAAGACTCGAATTTAGCACAGAGATTGGTAAGAATGAATAAAATCCATTGGGCCATTCAGTTTCTTTCCCTATGTGGCGGCAGGATCTGACGGCATATTTTCGGTACTCCTACAGTGGGGGTTAAAGACCTTATAGTCGGACTTGTTGTCGTATGGAGGGAAGAGAACGTTACGTTAATACCCAAACCAGCTCAGAGCGACTAGACGGACTCGAAATCCTATAGACCTATTAGCCTCACATCCTTTCTCCTAAAAACGTTGGAGAGAGTGTGTGAAATGGACATAAGAGGGTCGGCGCAAATAAGCTTACCGCTTCATGATATGCAACACGCCTACAGCTTAGGCAAATCGACAGAGTCGAAACTTCACCAGGTAATAAAAAGAATTGATGAGGCTATCAAAAACAAAGAAATATGTCTAGTTTCTTTCATAGATATATAAGGTGCTTTTGACGGAACGAACTTCTTTAGCACTAAGTAGACATGAAGTTGAACCGGCACTGATTGACTGGGTACTAAACATGTTCAGTTCACAAACAATAGAGATAATAAAGAAGGGCTGTCCGCAGGGCGGGGTTCTTTCACCTCTCCTGTGGAGTATGGTCATAAATGAACTAATCAGCTAATTAAATGCCGACCACTTCTTTAAAATTGGTTATACAGATGACATGACAATACTGGCGTTGGATTTAGAATGGTGCATTACCTTTTGATGCGAGTGGTACGAGGGTGGATTGAAAAGTACTCGGCCTAACCAAGAAAATAAACACATACTAAATCAGTAATATTTTTATTTTTCTACATAATCACCATCAAGTTCAATACACTTTTGCCACCTCCCCTTCCAAGCATTTAGACCGTTGAAAAAAAAATGATTCTTCCTTAGAGTCAAAATATGCGTCTACAGCTGCTTTGACCTCGTCGTTTGTCGAAAATCTTTGACCTCCCAAGTGCTTTTTTAGGTTAGGGAACAGAAAGAAGTCTGATGGTGCCAGATCAGGTGAATACGGCGGATGCGGTAACAGTTCAAAGCCACAGTTGTGAATTTCAGCCATTGACTGTACTGACGTGTGAACACGGGCGTTATCTTGATGAAACAGGACTTTTCTTCTGAGCATTCCTCGACGTTTTTCTTTTATTTCCTCTCGTAAACGACGTAGTAAGGTGCAGTAGTAATCAGAGTTTATAGTCTGACCCCTTTCAACATATTCAATCATAATCACACCTTTCGAGTTCCAGAATACTGAAGCCATCACCTTATTTGCCGACAAAATCGACTTAGCCTTTTTAGGGGGTGGTGAACCAGGTCTTCTCCACTGTTTTGAATGTTGTTTTGTTTCCGGTGTAAAGTAATGAACCCATGTTTCGTCCATAGTAACAAAACGATTCAAAAAATCATCTGCATCGGCTTCAAATAACTCCAAACAGTCGCGTGAAATAGTCAATCGCGTCCTTTTTTGTTCAACTGAAAGCAGTCGCGGAACCCACCTCGCAGACACCTTCTGGAAACCCAACTCGTTGACAATGGTGTTTTGAGTTCGTTCATAAGAGATGCCTATAATCTCGGCTATCTCTCTAATTTTTAATCTGCGGTCTCCCATTATTAAATCAAGTACTTTTTTAATATTTTCGTCAGTAGTTGACGTCGAAGGCCTTCCAGAGCGGGGTTCATCTTTCACACTCTCTCTACCACGCTTAAATTCTGCTATCCATTTTTTGACGGATGAATATGGCAGAGCACAATCGCCTAATGTACTGACCATGTCATCATGGATGGCTTTTGATGATAGCCCCTTCTTATGGAGGTACTTGATGACGGCACGCTGCTCGATTTGCTCCATTCGCGGAAATTATGTCCGATTACTTTGTTAATAAATTTATAAAATCACAACTAATTATCGCACACGTTTCGAACTTCAGATTATGAACTAGTCTGAACTGAACTAAATAATGTGGGTTGATTTGAATTTTAGAATTGAATGGATCTGTGTTAGGCCGAGTACTTTTCAATCCACCCTCGTATTATCAGAATCAGTGACTAAATCTCCACCAAATAAAATGTCTTACTCCCCCAAATTCCTGACAAACGATTCTAAATTTTAACCCAATACTAGTCTCGGGAAAAACTGCAAGCATGGTGTGCGACCTGACCCAAGCGACTCTCCATATAATGGAATAGTTGGTGCAATGAATACGATAATAGTTAATCCAAAGAAAACGGTTCTCGTAATAAATACTAATATAATATTCACATAAAAACGAATGCTGAATTATTATCACCTGCCAAGTCTTTTCAGCACAAAACTCCAGCTATTCTCTGAGGTAAAATAGTTAGCTCTTACCTTGGACAGTAAACTCAACTGGAATAAACATAGAAAACAAAATAAACAAGGCTAGTAAAATTTTTGGTAATGAAGAAACATGATTGGCAAACGATGGGGTTTTGACTCCAAAAATTATACTAAGGCACAAAACTGTTATTCGGCCCATGATCACATACGGCGCTCTGGTATGGTGAAACAAAACGAATGAAGGCATCACAATAAAGAAGCTTCAGCGTTACCAGAGACTGGCATGTATGGTTGCCCCAGGCTGCATAAGAACTAAACCAACAGCAGCCTTAGAGGCTGTGCTGGAGCTAAACCCCGCTTCATCTACACATAGAACAAGAAGAAGCAACTTTAGCTGTCATTAGACTCAAGACCCCAAATCTTTGGAGTAAGAGTAGAGTAACTCATACAGATATAATCTCAAAACATTCCTATCTTACAAGCCAAGTATGATAAGATCCCCAAACAACTTGTGTTCGATGAGAAATATAAGATACAATAAAATGAAACTAACCAGCCGGAGGGATTAAACCCAAAAGAGCTTAAAGTTTTCACGGATGGTTCTAAAACAAATGAAGGTGTATGATCTGGAAATTTCTCGTAAGATCTCATTATCTACATATGTTGTACACTGCTGGGTAAACACAATATCTTTCAGGCATAATGCTATCATCCAAGCGGCCATAGTAATAGATGCTGGGAAGGTAAAAGACTTCTCCATCAGAATACTGACTGACAGTAATATTTTGAGTCGCTATGTGGTGAACTTGGGACTAATATATGAATGCCATCAACGACTAAATGTCTGGATGTTCCATTGCAGAGTCACATTATTGTTGTCTAACAGAAGACGTAAGTTTTTATGACATTTCCCATAGTTGCCCTTACAGAACTTACCTTCAAAACGAAATGAGGTTATGGATTCTCCTGCACTACATGGAAGTAATCACATAATATTTGTTCTTTACAAATTTTAAAACACTGCATTATAATTTAGTTACTAGTCTTAATTTTTAAGATATTTCAAGTTTGATAAACAAGAGCTTATAGTGAATACCATTACTATTGCATTTTTAGAAAAGGAGTCAAGCATACCTTCAGTTTGTTGTGTATCAGCAGCATGTAAAGCTGCCAACGGAACCTCTGGTGGTGTAGCACAGTAAGCTGACTGGAGATATTCATTTATTGCACCTTTGATAACAAACAATTTATATTTTATAACCAAAATAATTATTTGACTTTAAAAAGTATTAAGAAAACTGTTATAAATTTTTTTTTTAGTTTTTTTGGGGTTCTGTCCCAATGTGTGTCAGCAGACCTTAGATAATCAGATTTTTTTTTCAAATTCGACGAGAAAGAAGTTTGCTCATGATGTATTCTTTAGCCGCCGTATCCAATCATCATTGGAGTTAGAGGGTATCTAATTTTACATATTATAAATTTATTACATCATAATTGTGATGTTAATTCTAAATGTATACATATTATGGTATCACATGACATATGAACAATAATAAGGTGGAACCATCACACATACTGTACAACTGTAGGCGTCCTGGGGTCTAGGATCCCACAAATAAGTTTTAAACAAAGTTACTTTTTTATATAAAACACATAGATAGAAAGCACAGATACCCGTGATAGCTCAGTTAAGTAACCACTGTAAATTTTAGTATGTGAGTAATCAGAGTTCGATCCTCAGATGCACAAATGAAATTGTAATAATCTTAAGTGTTGATTATAAGGAAACCGTTATGTTCTATAAATTAAAAAAAAATTGAAGATAATATAAAGTCGTTGGCGGCAACACGGATTGGGATAGCGCGGTGGACATTTCTTAGCCCTAAACCTTTTAAATTTTTGAAACAATTGAATTCTAAACTGAACTGGTCATGCGCATCTCTATGTAGATCGCTACGTGGTAGAGCCATGCTGCAGTTATATTAGTAGAATAGTTGTAGCACGAATGGTTTGGCTCGACCGGGGAAGGACCACACTCTCACAAAATACCAGCGTGAAATAGTAGCTTAATGCTGCTGTATTTCGTATGGTGAGTGTAGAGAACCGGAGACCCTTTTTACTGAAAATGAGGCATTCCATCTCAGTCCTCACGGGTGACAACGCATCTGCATTTTGATTTGTAATGGAAGATAGATGTAGATGTCTATGGGCCGCAGCAACCACTTACCATCAGGTGGACTGTGTGCTCGTTTGTCAGCCTATTCTATAAAAAAAAACTATCATCTACTACCCTATATATTCTTGCAGATATCGTAAGACATGACATAGATATGACTGTGACTGCCAACTCATCTGCCAAGTGTGGCAACTATGGCAAATATCCCTCATATGAGACAACCTATGGGTGAGACTTATATTTAGCAGTGGATATTTGATAGGCTATATTGAATAAAAAAGTGTTTTATTAAATATTGGTACAATTTTGGTTAAGGTGAAGTGTGCGCCAAAAGCAGATTTTTCTCGCTTTATATGGACTGTTCGACCCGCGAGCTATTTAATCGTACAATATTTATTTGATATTTCTTTTTAAAATTATATAATATACTCTTTTATTGAAAAATAAACCTCACGTATTTACTAGTGAGCACATAGCCTGAATTTAATTGAAATTCATTTCATTACATTGGAATGAAACAGATTTTTAACTTAGTGGACATAACTAAAATTGTAGATTTTGGGGGATAAGTCGCTAGCGTCCGTAGGCTTTGTACCACCTGTTCCTAGGCCCACCCTACACGTGTCCCCCGGGTGGTGCTAAATGAGCGACATGCCGATACCACAGACTCGGCTCCACGCCGTGGTAGCGGCGTTAAATATACCACCCCATTTCGCACCATGAGGAATCGAATTAAAGAAATGGCCCCGAGTTCCCGGCGCCCCTTTAATGGGGCAGGGGTGCGAAGAATCTCCGGGAGGAAAACCGGCGACGAGGTTCGCCACCCGTCACGTTCTGTCTCCCGGAGAGGCGAAAAGTGGATTGCAGAGGCCCGTCTGGCTACGTTGAATGTATGTGGGGCAATGAATGATAAAATGGATGAAGTATGCGATATGATGTATGATAGAGGAATAGATGTGTTATGCGTAAATGAGACGAAAAGGAAGGGGAAGGATGTCACCACACATGGCATGTATACCGCATACTAGTCTGGTGTAGACGAGATCGAGCGGGCATGCCAGGGAGTAGGTATCATCCTTTCAGAAAGAATGGGCCAATGTGTGAAATAGTATGAATGTGTAAGCCCAAGACTGCTATGGATACGAATGAAAGTGGGCTTAAAGAAATTGTTTGTGTTAGGGGTCTACGCCCCATACATGTCTAAGCCCACTTATATCCGAGAGCAGTTTTGGGAAATGGTAAGGATGGTGTTAATGAAGTGTAAGGGAAATGAAAATATTATTATGCTAGGAGATTTTAATGGAAGGGTTGGGGTCAGGAGGCTTGGTTAAGAAAGGATATTGGGAATGTTTGGTGATGAAAGTATAAATGAGAATGGTGAAAGTCTCCTCACAGTATGTATGGAAAAGAATCTTTTTGTGATGAACACTTGCTTTCGCCACAAGAGGATTCACATGTATACTTGGGAAAGAGGTGACGATAGAAGCATGATAGATTTCATAATTGTGGATGAAAGATTGAGGGGCGCAGTGGTAGATACGAGAGTTTACCGGGGTTCTAATGTAGGAACGGATCATTATTTAGTTTTATGCCGAATTAATGGTCTATTCAGGCGTTGGCGCCATCGATCGTCTGTGTCTACTACTGCGTTACAGCGTATTAGAACAGAAAGGTTTAAGAATGGGTGAGTTAACCGTCAAATGCCTTTTTGTACACCGATGATCAAGTTATTTTTGCGTCGTCAGCGGCGGAGTTGCAAATGATGGTTACATTAATGAACGGATCATTATGAAAGTGAACGCAAGTAAGACGAAGGTTATGGTTTTTGAAAGAGAAGAAAGTAAAACGATTTGTGAAATAAGAATAGAAGGGGGAGTTGATCGAGCAAGTAGATGAGTTTGTATATTTGGGATGCGTATTTAGCAGGGATGGGAGATATGATAAGTATATAGAAAGAAGAGAGAATGCGGGAAATAGAGTAAATGGGGCCTTGCACTCTATTGTGAAGAGTCAAAATGTGTCGAAAAAGGCACGTATGGCAATTCACAATGCTGTGTTGGTCCCTACTTTAACGTATGGTAGTGAAAGTTGGGTGTGGCAGATGAAGCACGAGAGTAGAATAAACGCAGTAGAAATGCGGTCGTTAAGAAGTATGTTAGGGCTGAATCTGAATGACAGGGTAAGAAATTGTCCCCCCCAAACGGGTTCCCGCCTTGTCGTGGCGGGGGGGCTTAGAAACCGTGGCTTGGTCACCCACGGCGAAACGAAGAGGAACCCATATGGCTGGTCCGAGGTGGAGGGCTGGTCCGAGGTGGAGGGCTGGCCCGAGGTGGCCACTCCGAGTGGGCTTGGGAAGCCCACTTCGGATGTGTGTTGGTGGACTGCGGTGAGAGGTGTGTCCTCCCCACCTACCGCTGCAGCCGAGGTGGAGTCGCGGAGGAAGTGGAGTGTTGGTATGGCGATGCGCCACTCGCCCTATCCTCCGCGACTCAAACGGGGCCGCACCGTTGATGCGGTGGTGATGGGGCTGCGGGGGGGAGAGGATTGTCGGTATTGCGAGGCGCCGCTCTCTCTATCCTCCGCATCCGAATCTTGGTTGGCGGCGGAGCCATAGACCAGATCCACCACTGGGGTCGGGAAGGCTAGTACTTCTAAGTGCTCGTTTTTCCTGGCCCCATGGCCTTCGCGCATCGGACGCAGGGGCGTCTGTTGCGCAGATGTAATTGGAGGCCGTGGAGGAAGGCGTGCCATGTGTTCTGGTGCGCCTTACTTGGGAAGGAGAACGGGGAGGAATATTCCTCTCCCGAGGAGGTGCTGCCATGGGGCGGCAGTCGCTGGTGGGGCCGCGGATGTGTGCGAAAGCGTTCCCGTAGCCCTGCCAATATGCGACGAAGGTGGAACACCATGGGGTTTTAGTCGGTGCGAGTCCGACATAACCCGTCCTTGCCCCCCGCGAGGCGTAGGCATTTCCCCATGTTAAAAAAAAAAGGGTAAGAAATTGTGTAATAAGAGAAGAGTGTGGTTTGCAAGATGATGTTGTGACCAGGATTAAGAAAGGGATGCTTCGGTGGTTTGGTCATGTGGAAAGAATGAATGAAGAAAGAGTGACAAAGAAAATTTATGGTGCAGAAGTGAATGGCAGAGTCGGAAAGGGACGTCCTAGGCGAAAATGTATCGACCAAATTGGCGATTTATTGAAAACGGGCCAAATTAGGAGTACCCTTAACCGACGAGCATATATGCGTAGGTGTATGGATGTGAAGGAGGCAAGAGAGGTGTGTCAGGATCGTGCCAAATGGAAGTCTGTAGTCTCTGCCTACCCCTCTGGGTGACAGGCGTGAGTGTTTATGTTATGTTATGTAGATTTTGAGGAAACTTTGAGATCTTTTTCTATTGAGCCAAAATGTGTCATTCGTGTTTTGTCAACATAATTCACTAAGAAAAATCTTTCATAATGAATTTAAAAAACATGTGGATTCGTAGTTTTTAATGACAAGAAAATGCTTTTCTGCACACCTATAAAGCGTGAAAGATCTGCTTTTGGCGCCCAGATCACCTTAAGACAAGTAAGTTAGTTTTTAGAATATAAAAAAAAAGTTTGAGGAATCATATGATTTAGGGACATTACAGATTAGAACTTACTTCTCCTTTTTATAAAAGCTTGCTACGCAACTGCAATTTTTTTGGATTCTTGACTGAGTACATGGACAGCACAGTTCACTTACCATGAGGTGAGTGGAGTATATATGTAATAATAAAGTTAGAACTCACCAAATTGCCCCATCTTAAACAGATTCTTAGCCAGCTGCGTCTGCAACATAAGTTGTTGACGTCTCGCCCCCTCCATATCTCCTGGACTCCCAGGGTTCAGGTATGGGGACACTGGATTGCCTTTGTTGAATGCAACTGCTGCTGCCAATGCAAAGTTCAGTGCAGGGGCTGATGGTGAGACTGCACTGAATGCATCACTTGGTTCCTCTTTGGGATTGATCTGTGGAAAGTACTCTAGTTTGTAATAAACATACAAAAGACTCACTGTGCCCCGCGGTTTCACCCGTGTATAATTAAAAGAAATCACTGATTACTTGACTTCAGTATAGACAATATTTTATCTTCATAAAGTTGTCTTCGTGATAAAGTAACTTTTGTTTGTAAGGGTAAATATGCCATGTTCAATAATAACGCTCATAAATCACTTTTTAATATTAATATTAATGAAGTGTCATACCTATTAACTGATTATTATCTTTTTTTATTATAATTTTTATTTATTATTAACAATTTCAAAAAAATATTTTATTCTAATAAAAAAAAATTTAAAAATATAAACTGAAAATGATAAGTAATTTATTTTCAATTTTTGGCCCTACAACAAATTTATTTAATTTATCATTAAATTGAATTAGAACTTTCATTGGATTAATATTTATTCCATATTCTTTTTGATTAATTCCTAATCGACGATATATTTTATGAAATTTTATTACTAATAAACTTCATAATGAATTTAAAATATTATTAGGTATTAATAGATTTAATGGATCAACTTTTATTTTTATTTCATTATTTACCTTTATTTTATTTAATATTTTTTTAGGATTATTCCCTTATATTTTTACTAGAACAAGTCATTTAACTATTTCATTATCATTATGAATTAGATTTATATTATATGGATGAATTAATAATTATCAACATATATTTATTCATATAATTCCTCAAGGAACTCCAACTATTTTAATACCATTTATAGTATTAATTGAAACTATTAGTAATATTATTCGACCTGGGACTTTAGCTGTTCGTTTAACTGCTAATATAATTGCAGGACATTTATTATTAACTTTATTAAGAAGAACTAGTTCTAATTTATCATTTTTTATATTATTTATTTTAATTTTTGTACAAATTTTACTTTTAATTTTCAATACTATATCATATTTAATATTAAATGACACTTCATTAATTTTCAAATTAAAACGACAGTTCTAATTTGAATGTAAATTAGTATAATAGTTAATAATTTGCATTTAAATAACACTAAATCTAAATGTATGCAATTCATAACTCCGAATGTCAAACGTGTTTTGTACTAATGTAATTTTTAATGGAGAGGAAGGGAGTTTTGATGATACTACCATTTTTCTTGGAATCACACTAGACGCAAAACTTCAATGGGACCCATTTATCAAAACTAGCAAGCAGACTTAGTTCTGCAGCAAATGCTGTAAAAAAATTAGCAAGTCATTAGCAAACAATTAGCTAATTTAGTTACGTTAGTTACTTTAGCTATTTCCATAGCATAATGTCGTATGGTATTTTGCTATGGGGACATGCGACTGACACTGAAATTATATTTGTTTTACATAAAAGGGCCATTAGAGCAATCTATTATTTAACACCTAAAGAGTCGTCGCTCAGACAAAAATTTTAAGAAATTAATATTGACCTCTCAATATATTTATGAAAATGTAATGTATGTATGTACACACAAATAAAAGAATTTTTACAAAAAAAAAGTATGTTGAATAAAATTTTCTGTTTCTGTTTCAATAAATTTTCTCACAAAATACCTTATTGTGGCTTATGTATAAGAAACTAGCTGGTACCTGGTGCGTTGCTTCTGAACTTGCTAAAATTGTCAGTACTACTGTGACTTTATACTACTGTGACCTTTGCACAAGTGCAAGCAAAAAATTGACAAAGATTTACTACAATCTGATGAATGGTATGGCAGCATGTTAAATACGAACAAACAAACATTAATATTTATATGTTAAGAATAATCATATGGTATTGTGGACTTTTTAAATATTGTAATTGTAAAGGTTTTCTACACATATAACACTTTAATTTAATATGCAGATAACACATCTTTTTCTTAGGCACAAAAAGTAAGGTATGATTTTACAAAAAAACAACTTAAAAATTATACATATAAGCAGGGAGCCCTCTCATGCTTATATGTATAATTTTTGTAAGTTAAAGGGGGTAACCTTTTGCATGAATTCCCCCTTTATTCTCTACAAAGGGGTGTGGAAGTTAAATTTAGACACCAAAATGAGATTATGATTTTAGTAAAAAAAATAAAACCTAAATTTTAATCTCTTACTTTAATTATAGTATTACATACCTGGGCAGCCTGTGCCTGACCGGCCAGTCCCAAAAGTTTGGAATAAACAGCTCCTGGTCTTTCATGCAGGCCACTGTCCCTTGTTTCACCTTTTGCTTTGTCCACTATTGGCTTCCTCTCGTGTTGGACCGCTGTCGGTAGAGTGCAAGAATTACTGCCCATAAGACATTATTTGCCCATTCTTAGCCAACTTCAAAGAGGAGTTTTAACAAATTTTTTTAAGGTATATAATATCTTCTTCAATTTTTTTATTGTTTAGGTTTTTTATTGACTACACTAAGGGCATAAAAACAGGAGATAAAGTTTTCAATGTTACAGTAATAAGTAAGTTGTTTAATACTATTTCCATCCACAATTGTCAAAGTCATAATACAACACAGGCCCTCCCTATAGATTGCCTCATAAGTAGTGATCGGCAGTAGGTAGTGCAATTCCCGGGATTTAGTGACTGTTATCTTAACATGGATATGCCTTCTGAATCCCGTGAATATATTACTAATTTATTTTATTAAACCAATTTTTTTATTAAGAACTATTTTGGGAATTCGTATTTTACATACCTCTACAGCTTTGTGCACATATTTTAATGGTCACTAAAATCATCTCTTTTCCTTGCGCTTTTCCCATTCAATATAATCTATATAATGAATAATATAAGGAATGTTTATGGCTTATTCGAGATTCTACATTAGTTTAACTTTCTATCTGTGCAACATAAAAACTGACTCACCGGCTTAAAATTACACGAGCGGCGAGGCCAACTTTGCGATGTTTTACTCCAAATCTATAAAGCCTATATTTGTTACATCTAGGACAAAATACATTTTGTCAATTAGTTGTTGTTTTGATTTTATCTTTATTATTTAATAATCTTCATATTTCACAAATTATTATAATAAAAATGGTGCTTATTAAGATATAATAAGAAGATTCAGTTTCTCATCTTTTATCCTACATATGAGCCAACAACCTACAGACAAGGTGATATCTTACGATTTGTAACTTTAAATTTGCTTCACATAGATGATCATTGAAAAGTAAATTATAGTTGTAGTCACAACGACATACCATGTCACCCATTTCTAGTATAATAAGATCCCGCCTATTGATATGGCAAACAGTCACTGCGCTGGACCAGCTTATACCAGAAATGAGTAGTTTGGTATTTCGTCAAGCATACTCATGATATTTCAAACAGTTTAATTTCATTTAATACATCGAAATTTAAAAAAATGTTCCAAAGAATCCCAGGGCATGTCCATATTGACATTATCATTCAAGTTCATTGACTCAAAATGGCACTACCTACGCTGATCACTGCTCATAAGGGATATTTGCAATAGTTTCCACACTTGGTAAAGGCAGTTTTTTGCTGCCCATCTCCTGGTTTCTTTCCTTCTGTCGCCTCTTACAACATCCACAGGATGATATGGGGTAGCAGATATTCTTACACCGCTACTATATGGTACTTTATCTTAGAAGCTTATTTTTGTATAAACTTTGGGTTGCAGTTTTTTTTAATTTTTTTGTAATGAATAACACATATAAATCTATTTTAAAATTATGTGTTGTACAATTCTTTTTCCATAAATATAAGTTTTTTGTCAGATGACAAAGATTGGATAAATGTACATTAAGGTACATTGTATTTATTTAATATAATGAAATAAGCTGGTACTCACAGTCACTGCGCATGCCGCAAGCGAGACATTTCTGTAGCCTGCAGTATTGACAACGGTTACGATGATGCTTGGTTACCTCACAGTTCATACTGCCCCGGCACTGGTAGCCCAGCTTTTTGCGTATAGAGCGCTTAAAGAAGCCCTTGCAACCTAGAAAAAGGAGTTTATCATTCAATTGTTCCACTAGAATCTTACTTTTGAAGTAAAACTTCTTTACGCACGAAAATGTGATCTGGCGAGGTGAACGGGAGTTGAGTGGGGAATATAAGCAAGAGAGAGAAGTGCGCGCGCACATTTTCTTTCTGTCAAGTGTCAGTGTCAAGTTACGTTCCATATTTTATGAATTAATATTTTGTTCAGTTAATTAAATATTCTATGTTTAAAGTGAAGCTGATAATAAATTTAAATATTTGTAGAAAATTTATATATATATATAGATGAGCTAAAGAAGTTTTACTTCAGTCGTGTGGTCATAAGCACACTTTTTTTTCATAGTAGCATAGGAAAGGCAGAGCCATTTTTTTTCTTTTCTGTAAACCTTACCTTCACAGCTTATAGCACCATAATGTCTACCAGAAGCCCTATCACCACAGACTATGCAAAGCTCTAGGCCCCCAACTTCTCCACCAGCACTATACTTTAACTCCATTTGGTCCTGTGCTTCCATCTTATCTACAAGAAAAATAAAATTTTGTAGTAACCTGTTCCTAATCCTTAATATAGAACAAAATATACACAATAGCTAAGTTGTGTGTAAAAGTGTGCTGTGTAGTGGTGGCTACCCCAAATCATTCCTTGAGTGTTGCAAGAGGTGACAGAGTGAAATTGAAATAGGGGATGTGCAGAAGCATCTATATATTAGGAGTTAATCACTCACTAAAATTATAAAAAAACTGTAGTTGGCAACCTGCCTGCCAAGAATGTTAATAATGGCAAAGTCCTCCTTATGGGGACTTTTGAGGAGCTAGAATGAAGAAATGAATGAATATATTATTGTGTATTACCTATGAATAGAATAGAATAGAATCATGTTTATTCATTTTATATTACAAGTTGAAAGTCATTTAAAACTTTATCACTATTTTGAAAAAGCCTACTTTATAAGAACTAGTGATGCAACGGAAGTGTCATATCGGAATCAGAAACGGAAACAGATGTTAACAATATTTTTTTGCAGAAACGGAAACAGAAACAGATGCGGAAACGGAAATACTACTTTTTAAAAAAAATACAAATAAAACTTTTAATAAACCTACAAAATTAAGTAGCGGTATGTTATATTTTATGAAAATTAGCTTAGCCGCTTTTACACCTAACAATCTGTTCCAGTGTTCTTCATATATACGTCCAGCTCCGCTAAATAATTGCTCACTGGCGATGTTGTGTATACAGCAAAGCTAAATTGGCACTGAAGTATGGGCAGACCCTTTAAAGAGCCACATTTAGGTTTAGCGGGTAATTTAGTACAGCCTTAGCACGAAAGTAGGTCGTATACAAACTTTGAATCCAATATACTCATTTAAGTGTCTTTAAAAGAATAATATAAACTTCAACTAAAAAATAATAATATAAACTTCACATAAAAATAATTAATATAAACATCACTTAAAAAATTATTAATATAAACCTTATGTAAACATAACTGCTGCCTAATTAATTTTACAATTCTAACTTGTAACAAAGGCGTTTAGTAAACACTAATTTTAAGTGGGGAAAACATGTTTTAACTAAAAACGCTAAGGTACGCAATTCCATGATTGACCATTTATTTTTTAGTTTGCAATGAAAGTTTTACAGTTTCAAGTAACTTCTCAAACTCTCGAAACTCCTCGGCGTGTATCGCTTTAAGATGGCTATTTACAGCGGCAGTTTGCGACCTATTCGAGAGTATCTATATTTTGTCACATAATTTACATCTGGCTGCTAAATCATCAACCTCAACATAATATGTAGTTCCACACAGGACTTGCTTTTGGCTTCATGTTTGCACCTAAGTTACACACAACTCTACTAACTCTAATTACTAATAAACTAAAAAGACAATAACAGACAATCTTACACACTTACACTTGCGTCACGCCGTATAATACAGTTAAAAAAAGTATGTAAACAAACAAGTTGGGACAAGTGCCCAGCTCGCTTGTGGTTGGCTGAAATGACTCTCCCCAACCGTCAAACCCACAGATCGAAAACTACTTTTTTTAAAACATTAATTTACAACTGGGTAAACAAAAAACATACCAACTCTCTCCTTAGAACATACCATAAGGCAAAAATTCTTTAAATTTGGTCGGGAACAACTGGGGCTTGCGTCCCAGTATGGTCCTATGGCTGTACAGCAGTATAGTGAGGTCGATTCTCACTTACGCCTCTATTGTCTAGTGTAACAAGGCCAACCAAAAGATGACTGCGGTCAGTCTAAATAGTCTACAAAGGACTGCCTGCTTAATGGCAACTGGAGCTATGCAATCATCGCCTGGAGCAGCTCTTAATGCACTTCTATGCCTAACGCACCTTGATCTGAATCTAGAAAAGGAGGCAAGGGCTAGTTTGTATAGGATTAACGCCCAGGGCGGTCTGAGCTTGCTCTCCTACAGATTGTGATCCATGCTCGACTCAATTAAGGAATCACCGGTCTTATGAATGATCTCAGATATCATGCGTCCACTACACACTTTTGATAAAAAGTATATAGTGAAATTACAGCAGCTCTGCTAGCGCTGAGGTCAAACTTAGTGAACTCGAAGAAAGTTGGAGACTGCGAACCGCTTAAACGCCCTGGGATGTAGTAACAGGGTCGTTTTAAGATGGGTTCCGGGTCACGAGGGTATTGTAGGCAACAAATTTGCCGACAAACTTGCATTGATTTGGACCTGAGCCATTTTGTGGAATCTCAAGAAGCCTAGCCCGATTGACCCTTGAAACTCTTTATCACAATAAATCACTTAAGATCTGGTCTGACACACCAGGCTTAAAACATTCTAAAACCTTAATCCGGGCTTTTGATCGTAAATTCGCTTCAGAGGCCCTGGGATTAAGTAAAAATAAATTGCGCATTCTGGCAAGAGCCCTAACTGGACACTGTTGTCTTAAAAAGCACATGTCCATCCTGGGACTAAACAACTCAAGGATGTGTAGGTTCTGTTCCATAATTAATGAAACACCTCTACACATCCTAACTGATTGCAGACCCTCAATGCGCAAACATAACACTCATCTGGGAAACTATCTACTCCGCCCAGAAGAAGTGAAATTGCTCCCGGCTATGCAACTTCTATTAACATTGAAGACATAGGGCTTAGCCGTGAACTATAGCCATAGCCGCTCATTTGCTTCTTGCAACCACAGTTGCAAAAACAGAATCCTTAACTTTGCTCTTTGCAATTGGGGTGAAAACGAAAGTTCTTTTAATTGAATTTAGACCGTATTTTAAACGCACAGAGTCTAACTATTACGTATTAAAACCAAAACAAATATATAAATCATAGATTTGGATCAAAATTACCAACCTCTTGGACGAAAAATATTGAAACTTTGTTAGTTAAACTTTAGCGAGTGAAGTGACGCTTAAGTGGATTTAACAAGGTGATAAAATATGCCATGAGTATTGAACTTTATTGATTTTTGCTAGTATTTATATATCAAATTAATGTCTTATTAGTGTTTTCTTGTATTAAAGTAATATTTTTGCAAATAGTGTATGAAAAATGTGATAAAGTCGACTTTTAAAAATACTCAGAATGACGCGAATCTAAACATAATTTTCTATAGCTTACACTATCGTAATTACATTGTATTCTTTAAATACAAAATAGTCGTAGTGGTATTTTAATATAATTACTCAATTTAAGTAATAATGTTTTATAAATTGTTCATCATATTATAATATAAGTTTTTATGTTATAACAGCCTACATTGTAACTAACAAATAGCGATCATTTGCGCAATCTGTGAATTCTTCGTCAGGTTTCACTTAATATGTTTACTATATATTTAAATATAAATTGTTTTATAATGTAGATAAATATATCAAGTGATTCATTAGGTTTAAGGATATAATAAATAATCACACACTTATCGATCTTATTTTTTTGACAAACCTGATGTTTTACAAAAAGTTGCTAAAATGGCTTGTACTTGTGATTTCAACACCTCTAAAATATTATTGTAATCATATTTTGATAGAATAACATACGTATTTCCTATTCTTATTTCAATGGCTATTCATAAAATTTAAAATATTTGAAGTGCTCCAAGTAAATCATAAACTAAATTTTATTGACGGCGGGTTGAAAGTGAGAAACACAGTCCCGGTTACTGGCAAACTAAGCTACCCTTTTTTTGTTCGCAAGCAATCGAACGTATAGCAGCGATCACAATAGATCTTATAGGTCGCAGTGATACTGGTCTCTTTCCCTAGACATGCATAGCTGCTCGCATATAATTAAAAAAAATTAGAAAATATTTTATACAATTAAATATGAAAACATTTAGAAAAAGCATGGTAGCAATGACATCATTTTAATTTCTAATCTGTAATTTGTTAACAAATTTGAAGAATCAAAGAAAAAGAAAGAAGAAGACATTATTAGTCGAAAATAGCATCACCGGAGACCCGGGCTGTCAAATTCCTAAAAAAGGAGAGGTCATTGATTAGCAAAAATTTTTAATTTTTTGATAGATAGATCCTGCATGTTTTCATAGTAATCTGCTAAATGTCCTACCCGCCAAATTGAACATAGAAGTAGGGAAAACTTTGCTCTTTTCACCTTTTGGCTTGGGGAAACCTATGTTCAGCTGTGGCCTTTTATGTCTGTCTTTAATGAAAGGAACTAATATTATGTGGAGTTATTTTTTGAACAATTTTAAAAAGTTAAACTAAGGGTAAGTGCTCACTGAGCATTTTATAGCGTGCAAGCAACAAGGGTTATCTTATTTGTGTAAGTACTCTTATTTGTTCAAAAACGGATGTAGAATTAATTGTTACTAATTAAAGTGTATGTATTGTATTTAAAAGTTTACATAATAACTGATACCAAATTATTACAGAAGACAAGAATTTTAGACTTTTTATTATCAACTTGTAAATTACAGTACTAGTTATAGGGAAAGCCAAAACGACAGCCTTTCACTTTGAGCTGCCACCAAGATTTAACGACGTCATATCAGTATTGCTATTGTAGGCTGAACAATTGGATTATGTTCTTACGCAAAACAATTTTACACGCTTTAAATCATTAGTGTGGAAAACTATAAGATGTGTATGAACTATTTCGTTGGACAAAACAGTTACAATCTCATTACCTTCAAATCACTGACGTATTGATATTTTTACACGTTATTATTATTAATTGACTCTTAGTATTATTCCAAACTAAGAATTTATGGAAATCATATTTTTTAGAGAACGTAAACCTTTTCCACCCAATAAAATCAATTTATTCCTTAAAAATGTAAAAATAAACACGCTAGATTGATTTTTTTATTAACGGGCGTTACGGCTCTGGACTCTAGCCCTTCTGAGCCTTCTTCTAATTTTTTTTATTAACTGGCTTTACGTCGGTTCTTCTGAGCCTTCTTCTAATTATCTAAATCGTAGACAGAGAAACCTATAGACAAATTGACGCCTTCTTTCGCATTCGCACACGAAAAAGATACATTTGCATTACACATTACAAAGTGTAGTTTGCTAAAACAAAAAAACAGGCACGGAGAAAGGGGCAAACAATCACATGGCTCTGTCTCATTTCTATGCAAGACGTATGCATAAATCTATCCTTTTCGTGCGCGAATGCGAAAGAAGGCGTGAATTTGTCTATAGGTTTCTCTGTCTACGGAGAAATACTTATCCATAGATACGAATGTTACAATACGATTTTTTGTAGAAGTTCGGGAAAAAGAAAATACGGCGCACCTGATGGAAAATATAGATTGCCGCTCACGAACAAATGCAATACCAGGAGAATTGCGGGTGCAAAATAAGAAGATAACATAGGTAGTGTTTATCAGAGGTCAGAATTAGGTAAAATTATTTATATACTTGCATCGAAATGTTGATATTAAAATGGATCTGCCCGGGATTTTAAATAGACAATCCCGTGTGGCCAACAATATTATAAATAAATAATAATAAATTCAGAGATAGATAAGACAAATAAAACAAAGATAATTAATTAACATATGATTTTTATAAGTATTTACATTAATTCACAAATTATTTATAGTCTTAAGCGAATTATTATACTTATACTTCGCCTTTTCTATAAATACGAAAATATTTTTGCATCTAGCCTAAACTCGTGAGGTTTTGCTTATTCAAAAGGCCCATCAGAATCATTTTCCTTATTCAATTCATCTCAAAGTACCACTAAGATTTGAAGTGTTTCCGACATTACTGTATAACTTTTATGACAAGTATATAACCATTTGCTTTTCAATATTTTCTGGCTTTAATGAATTCTCCGAACGTCTAAAATCCATTCGTACATTGAAAAAGATCGCTGTACGTCAACTGAGGTGAGGTTAGCAAAATCGTAATGCGCACGCTTTGTAATTTTGCAACTTCGAATATCCGATGTAATTGATGTAAATTTGGCAACATCACACGTATAGTGGTTTCAATTGTGTAAATTTGAATAACTTTTTTATTTAATAAATCCCGGGATTTTTCTGCTTTTTAAAATTAATTTGAGGCATATCCACTTTATTCTTTTGCTGTATGAAATCAGTGTAAGTACATAAATAATTCTACCTAATTCCGACCTCTAGTGATTATACATTCTTTGGCTGGGAATAGACAATTAAGACAAACAAAATAAGACCATACAGCCTGATGCTTAATTTGTTCACAAAACCCTTCACAATATACGCATGCGTTACGTTGCAAATTTCTTAGGAGATTTTGATGATAGCTTAACCCAGGGGACAATGATGACAATAATAATTCTTTATTCCTAAGCTTATAAAAAATCTGATATTTTTATTGCTGTTGGAGAATATGTTACATCATTTCCATAAACACTTCACATGTGCAAACATTTAATACACAAAATTAATTCTCTTTTAAGTATCAAAATCCACTCTAAACCACTGTTTTAACTATGAGACAAGAGCAGCAATGCACCGTCAGTCAATCAATCAATCAATCAATGCAGCGGTGAATAGTTTCGGAGATATAACGTCAGCCTGTCTTACACTTCTCTGCAGTTTGATAGGTTTCGTACACTGGTTCTGTACTCGGATAGCCATCGTAGCCCTACTGTACAAACACTTCAGCACTTATATGAAAAATGCGGATGAACTGTGTTACCAGATGAAAATTACGTGAGAACAACTGTCTCAGCAGACTAGAATAACCGTATTTTAAGTATAATTAAACCTTAGATTTATTTATAAATCACCGTGTATATTACCATGTAAACGTAAAACAAAAATGTTTTTTTTTAATATTATTTTTAATAGAAATAATATATTCTTCCAATAGTTCCATGTTGTCATTGACGACGTGTTTTCTTATTATAGTCTTCGTAGTCAGTCTATTTATTTTCTTCGTTTTAAAGTCATTTACTTGATTGAACAGTCTCTCATATGCAGCACTGCAGTGTGGCAAGGACAGAATGTTCAACACAAACATGCGCAGAAATTTAAATATATTTTCTTCACTGTGATCCTTCAGCTGAACTATCTGTGAATAATAAAAGCGTTACTTAACTGTGTGTACAAAGGAAGAGACTATTAAAATAATTTAAAATTAATAAAGTAACATATAACTACTCACTTTTGAATTTTTGTTTGTTGTTCTTCCGTATTTGCCCAGCTCTTCCTATTTAAACGGATGTTGATCCTGTTTCAGTATCAGCCTTGTAATTATCACTACCACTTTCCTCGCTGCCCATTATGATCTCGTTTTGTACAATTTTGTAAAGTAAAAAATATATTTCATACACCATTTTCTACCTGAATAGAATATGTGTTCAATTTAACGCAATTTCATAACTTTGTATTAAAATTCCACTATTATTTACACGGTAATTTATATTAGAAAATACCGTCGAAAACGACACAGTAATTGATCATTGCCGTAGACTGTTTTTGGTAAAAATACCGTGTATTCACGGTAATTATCGTGTATATAAGAACACTGGGGATGATATTATACTGGACTGCATTCCTTATTAAACAGTAACCAGTATAACAAACTAAAAAGGAATGGCTTCACAGTATACTGAATTGACGTCACACCTTACAGTAATCAGTGTATATTGGAACAAACCCATAATTTATAAATCTATTATGTGTTTACTTAGACCATTCAATGAATGATCTAAGCATGGAGGTTATAAAGAAGGAAAACAATCGCTACGTGCTAAAGCGTAGCCCGCTTGTCCCTGAACTGCCGTCGGTAAGTAGTATCTGCGAAGCTAGCTGTTTATTAGTACAAGTAGATGAAGTTAGTTGAATAATGTACGCGTTTTCTTCGCGGCATTGGTGAGAAAATAATCGTGTTCCGTAATATTTTAATTTTTAACAAAAATAAAAATTAAAAAATGTTGAAATATTATATTGTGCGTGGATGTGCAAGTGGTTTAGCGTCTGGTTGGAAAAATAAACTGAAAATGACTTTTATACAGAAAACTTAGCGATCGCAGCGCTTCACTTATTTTGTCCATATTTCTGGGACACTATTTTCTACAGCGATCGTTCTCCTTCTCTCTAACCTCCATGGGTCTAAGTGTGTTTACGGTTCAAGAGAGTTTTAGGGGGAACTTGGCCGTAGACGGATTGTCGCTCCTGTTTTGTCGCTTAAATAATGTCTTGAAGTGGATTTTGATTCGTAAAAGTGATGTGATTTTGTGAATTAAGTATCCGCGCGTGTGAATTATTAGAGAAAACGACGAAACAAGTGCTTTGACGACGATATAAACTTCAAGTTATTTTGATGGTTTGGGCGCCTTATGAACTTGAGTGATGGTCGTCATCAACTGTTCGCTAGGTTGAGCTGTCAAAATCTCCCGAAGGCTTCGCAATGTGACGCATCAGCATATTGTGAAGAAAAATAATACAAAATGAAGATTCCGAAAGAAAAGATAAGCTCAGAAAGGCAAGAACGTAGAGCCGTAAAGCCAGTTAGTAAAAAAATTACGATTGAAATGTCAACTGCAACTGTCAATTTGTCGTGTCAAAGTCAAAGGAGGTGTCAAAGAAATGTGCAAATGTGACCGCGTGCGTTACAGTTGTTTTTCACCGTTCTTCGTATAAAATATAATTAGATGCCTTACCAAGCTTAATGAATGAAGTAAACTTATATGGAAACTAAAGACATGGAAGATATAATTGATAAGTTTAATAATCTTACCGCAAAACCTATAAAATATTTAGCAGTTCAGGACGATATAAAGCTTGATGTGAAAAAGTTAATAAAAAAGCTTTATGACTTTACAAAGGCACAAGAGCAAAACGACCACAAAGTAAAAAATACGGCTTTACCATATTTACTCGTCGATGATTTTGACGAGGAACAGATTTGGCAACAGGTCGAACTTCAAAACTCACAGTGCTGGGATAAATTAGTATGGGAAGTAGCAAATTGTATATCGGTTAAAAATGATCTCATATTTCCAGTTAAATTACAAGGAGAAGAGAAAAACGAGTCAGTGGATACTGATGAAGACGAAGAACCTTTAAAAAAGTCTTTATCGGAGCAAGCTTCACTACCTTCAAAGAATGTTATAAATAAAAACAAAGCAATAAAACAATCGAAAAGTAATCAAAAGACAAAATCAAAGGATTCAATTGTTGATGATGACTTTTTTAAATTAAAAGACATGGAGAAGTTTTTGATAAGCGAAGAAAAGAATGAAGGTAAGAAAAAAGAAGACACTGATGATGAGTCTATAGACATGTTTCAAGACATAGATGATGAGGGATCAGGAGATGAGGAAGTTAATGAGAAAGATATGATGTACTCCGATTTTTTTGATGGTGAAGCAGACCATAGAAACGGAGATAATAATGAAAATGAATCAGAGGAAGAAATAAATGATGATTCTAGAAAGCGTGATAAAAGGGTGAGATTTGCTGATGAAGCAACAGGTGTCCCTGATTCTAATGATGATTATGATGAAGATGATAATGATAGTGAAGGTGATAGTGAAGCAAAACCTGATAAATTATTAAATAAAATGGATAGTGAAGAGAGTAAATCTGAATTTGAAAAACGACAACAGCGCTTACAGCAACAAATTTCAAAACTTGAAGAAAAAACTCTCAGTGAAGCACCATGGCAATTAAAAGGAGAAGTTGATGCTTCTAAAAGACCACAGAACTCTTTGCTTGCAGAGGTTGTTGACTTTGATTTGACTACCAGACCTCCCCCTATTATCACAGAACAAACTACAATTACATTAGAAGATATAATCAAACGTAGAGTTAAAGATAAAGCATGGGATGATGTTGTAAGAAAAGAGAAGCCAGTAGATGACCAACTTGCCTTCCGTAAACCCGAAATATTAGACCACTCTAAAAGTAAGTTAAGCCTTGCCCAAGTATATGAAGCCGAATATTTAAAACAGAAGCAAGCGCTTAGTGCTGACAACGAAGAAGAAAAAGAACCAGAAGTTCATACAGAAATAAGAGATGCTATGAAGGAATTGTTTACAAAGCTAGATGCATTATGCCATTATCATTATACCCCTAAGCCTCCACAGGCTGAAGTTAAAATTGTGAGCAATACTCCTGCTATTTCTATGGAAGAAGTTGCCCCAGTTGCTACTAGTGATGCTGCATTATTAGCACCAGAGGAAGTTAAAAAGAAACGCAGAGGTGATTTGATGAGTAAGGAAGAGAGAACTCAAACGGATAAAAAACGTGAGAGGAGAAAGAAGAAAAAGTTACAAAGGCTTAAAGGGAAAGTAATGAAAGTAACGGAGCAGAGAAATACAAAGAAGGGTGTAGAAGCAAATGATAAATCTTTAAAAACCTCAAAAGCTTTCTTCCAACAGTTAAATGACGATTCAACTAGTTTAATTAAATTAAAAACTAAGCGTAAGAATAAAGGTCAATAAATCTGTAAAATAAATATTTTGTTGGATTAAAAGTCATATTATTTACCTCCTTAGTACAACATTTTTCTGATTATGTAATAAGTAAAACGGGGTTTTGATTTATCATGACTTTGTCTATCTCTAACTATAGATTTTATTAAAATATTGCATTGTTAAACTCATGCGAAGTTAAATCTAATAAGAGAATAACAAGATGTAAACGCTTTCAAGGGCCATATTTAAAAATAATGTATTTATTAGTTTTGTTGAGTTTTTTCTAGTTGCTTTACATTTTAATACTTAAGTTCATTCTTGTAGTTCATGAACCAGTTCATATTATACACTTAGTTTTTAGTACTGTACCCTCCATAGTATATAGAAGTCACTGTTGCATACTTGGAGAGAGAGAGAGAGAGTCTTAGACCAGCATAGAATATGCCGGACTGTTCCAATATGGGTTGATGGATTTATCTTTTCTTATTTCACAGTTTCCTATCGATGTTTTGACAACATGCACAAGCATGATATATATAGAATAGCTGTGACAATTTTTTACATTCAAGAGTGAAACTATATACTCGCATTATAAGTTATTCATCAATAAACATATTAAATAATTATTCACTGTATTAAACACTAAAATAGAATATAGAGAGAGTATACGTGAATATAGAGTATAGAGAGAGTATATACATCTCTTGGCGTGTGAGTATCGTAAGAGAAATGTTGAAAACAGGGGATGCAAAAATATTAATTCCGTTACCGTTACAGCCTATTAAAGTCCACTGTTGAACATATGTCTCTCCCATAGATTGCCACATAGGAGGGATATTTGCCATAGTTGCCATGTTTGGCAAGCGGGTTGGCAACCATACTTTTTGTAATTATAATTGTTATTAGGGAGACACTGATGCTCATCTTCTGAATCTATACTTGGTAGAGCCACGTTGCAGTTATATTATGGTTGTAGCGCGAATGGGTAAGCTCGACCGGGGAAGGACGCTCTCACAGAATACCAGCGTAAAATAACAGCTTAGTAGTGCTGTGTTTTTTTAGTATGGTAAGTGTAGAGAACCGGAGTTCCCTTTTTACTGGAAACGAGGCATTCCATCTTAGTCCTCAGGGGTGACAACGTATCTGCGTATTGATTCTTAAACGAGGATAAATGTAGATGTCTATGAGTCAAAGCAACCACTTACCGTCAGGTGGGCCGTTTGTCACCCTTATTCTATAAAAAAAAACTCCTTAATTGTTTCCCTCCGTCGCCTCTTATGGCACCCATGGGATGATATGGGGTAGTGGATACTCTTACACCGCACCTACAGAAGATAGGCAACATCAAAATACTGCGGTTGCCAACACGCCGGCTAAGCGTGGCAACTATGGCAAGCAAAAAGCAACAAAAATTATGCAATATAAGGGATAGCCCAATATTCAGCATTGGACTTTTGATGGGCTGTAAACAGTAATTAGTGAATGAAAGAAAGAATATATTGTATTACATATTATGGTATTACATATATGACAGGGTGAGAAACTGTGTGATAAAAGAAGAGTGTGGTTTGCAAGATGATGCGGTGACCAGGATTAAGAAAGGAATGCTTCGGTGGTTTGGTCATGTAGAAAGAATGAATGCGGAAAGACTGACAAAGCAAATATATGTTGCAGAAGTGAATGGAAGAGTCGGAAAGGGACGTCCTAGGCGGAAGTTTGTCGACCAAATTGGCGATATACTAAAAATGGGCCAAATTAAGAGTACCCTTAACCGACGAGCATGTATGCGTAGGTATATGGATGTGGAAGAGGCGAGAAAGGTATGTCAGGATCGTGCTAAATGGAAGTCTGTAGTCTCTGCCTACCCCTCTGGGTGACAGGCGTGAGTGTTTATGTATGTTTACATATTATGGTAAATGTCCTCTCTAGTATGGTAAATGGCTAGGTATGACTCTCTTCACTTATTATTATTTTATTGCTTTTTACGGAAACAATCAAACAGTGAGTTCGTAAGTACTACTTATTCCATTTTTTTTAAAATATAATATATGACTACCGTTTACTGAATAAAATGACTACCGTTTACTGAATATCTTTCTTCCTTGACAAATGGTTGTTTTTTTCATATTTGTGTTTTATATGATTTCTAGCAATTATTTGACATTTACTAACATTCCCACTAACCACTCTAAGTATTTTTTTTATAGGATAGGGCGACAAATGAGCACAGTCCACCTGATAATAAGTGGTTGCTGTGGCCCATAGACATCTACATCTATTCCGACTATGTTCTCTACACTCACCATACGAAACACAGCGGCATCAAGCTGCTATTTTACGCTGGTATTCTGTAAGAGCGTGGTCCTTCCCCAGTCGAGCCGACGTAGCTGCAGCGTGGCTCTACCACGTATAATAAAAATATCCAAACCGAATACTATACAACCAAATTACTGCAAGAAATGTTCGCAGCTATGAGCAATGCGGGTTTTTCCAAATACGGGGTTCCGCTATCTACTGTTTCACCTAGTTCGAGGGGGGCACTGACCTTGCCTTTGGAAAGCACCACTTATGTACTGAATAAAATTTGGTATAATATTCTCAATAAATAATAGAGTAAGTTCCACAAGTACTTTATTTGTTGCACTTTCATTATTTTCGGTTCAAAGTAAATAAATAGATTGTAAAAATAAGACTGAATTGTTTGGTAACTTCCGTCTATCGTTTTTTTTTATAGACGAGGGGGGCAAACAAGCATGCGGCTTACCTGATGTTAAGTGACTACCGCCGCCCATGAACAACCGCAACACCAGGGGAATTACAGGTGCATTGCCGGCCTTTTAGAAAAGAGTAAGTTTTCGTTAACTGACTAGACGTGATTCATAGATTTTAAACTGGTTAAACTCTCGTTTCTAACTCTATTAAGCTGTTTTGCTAAGGCTGTCTAATGATCTTCTGTCAGCCATCTGTTCCATATATGCACAGAGTGAACGACTCACTGGCCCATGCCGCAAAGGAGTAAGTCGATCTTTTAGGTTCTCTTTTTGTGTCTAACTCGACTCTCGACGACGGGAGGTTGGCAGTGTGATTGCTCCATGCTGGATGTGCACGTCAACAAGATGAGTGGGCCTGATGGGTCCCCCCTATTGTGCTATTGTGTGCTGAAGACACGAGTGCTCCGGATTTAGCACCGGTTTTAACGAATATTTTCCGGTACTACTACTCCTTAAGCGTAATCCTGAACTTAAGAAAGACAGCTTAAGTGTATCCGACGCTTACAAAGGCGACACCTCACACCTTATAGGTTTATCACCATCGCGCTTCTTGTTCTCCAAAGTAATTGAATCAATTATAAACTGCCAGCTCATAAGGGGTACCTTAAGGACACTAATCAGCTAGTTCTAGTTATAATCTTCCAATTTACTTGACTCATAGATGAACGGAAGCAGTAGAGTCAAAGAGGGAGATCTTGGTCGTTTCTTTGGATATAGCGAAGGCCCTTGATAGGCTTTGTCACAAAGCGCTTATTTAGAACCTTCATTCCTATGGATTTCTCGAGAAATTGTGCAATTGGATCATTAGTTTTTTTGCAGATCGGAGCATCAAGGTGTAGTAGACGGTGCATAATCCGACTACGAGCTTATTAATGCTAGTGTTGCACAAGTCTGCGTTTGGCTTACGGCTTACGCTGTTTTTTCTGTTGATGTTACTGACTGTAACACTGGTGATGTTTATTACGCCGGCTGTGCTAATATTCCTCAGGAACACTTTATTTCTGGTATCGAAACAAACTTGTGTTTGAAGTAGAGTATTTAGTTTATTTAGTATCGGGTTGGGGACTAGGTACTCTAGTTCAGATTAAACTCAGGAGACACAGGTATTCACGTTTACCGTCAAAAAGAACCCTTTTTTATATCCGTAATTACAGAGCTCTCCATGCTGCCTCAGCCAGCACCGGAATCCTCGGCATCGACATATCGAATGACGTCGGTTCCGCGGTTACTTGGAAGGGAAGGCTAAATTGCCCTCTAAACAACTCGGTGTGCTCAGTAAAGCAGGAAAATATTTCATGCCGGCACACTGTTTGCTACTTTACAAGGCGCAAGTTCACCCTCACATGGAGTACTCTTCTCATCTCTGGACCGTTGCACCCCAGTGCTAGCTCCTTGAATCGTCGACGACAGAGTTCTTTTTAATCGGCTCGATTTACTGGCACTGTGAAGAGATGTTGCATCCCATTGCATTTTCTATCGCGTTTTCCAGGTGGTACTTGGACAAATTGTTCGCATTAATTTCTGTCGCCAAATTCCACCAACGCACATTGGGACCAAACTCAAGGTACCATCCACACCATCTGGATACTTGGCGGTCCATCATGACTGTGCAATTTACTAGGAGTTCTCTTACTTGCAACACTTCCTTATTTTTATATTTGCCACCGGCAATTTTTCCGGACCAATACGTCTTAGAGAAACGAGCTTACTCCTTTTAAAAAGATCGGCATGGAACCTGCAATTTCCTGGTGTTGTAGTAGTTCATGGGCGATGGTCGACTGGTGATAGTAATCAGAAAAATTTGATTTAATGTGAACAAAACCGCGAGGTGGAAAGCTAGCTAAATATACAAATTTAGTAAATATATTCGTGGGTTGGGCCACAAGTTAACCAAAAAAGAGCCTATAATATAATTGTTCACATTTTATTTACTCAAGAAGCGTTTTAAAAAAGAATAGATACCGCTCTTTTTATCCATAAATCATATTAATTATTTTTTTAAGTATATTAAACATTTTTACAAGCATTACAAAAGTAAGGTACACATTAATGTGCCTAATTTTCAAAATTAAAAATCCTTATACGCCTAAAGCCTTGTTGGTTGCTATGGTTTGTACAAATTAGGTACCTAGGTCGATTTGGAGCTACATAAGGCCAGATTAGCGTGCTCAATAGCCGGGAGTACAGTAAAAAGGCCAGATCGTGGAAGGGGAATGGCGCTCGCAAACCGCCAGCGCTCGGGACGCGGAGCAATCG